AGCGGAACACAAAGAGCTTCCAAAACAACAAGTCATTAATTATTCAGGTCCAGCACAGGTGTTGTCACGCCACCGACTTGCGTAAGCACGGTCTGTTGAGAGCATTGCACTGTGACCTCTGTCAGACACAATCGTGGATGAAACCTACCTTTATACCGCAATCATCACAAGAATTTGTTTTGATAACCTATGCATTTGTTACGTCAGAGAGATACAATGTAGGTACAATGTATATACTATTTTAGGTTTCAAACCAAAAACCGTTGTAGCATTTTTGCCAGAGTTTTGGTACAATGGAAGAGCAGCAGTTACTAAATCAATAATTTCTTTGGAAGCCAAACAAAGTTTAAACACAAAGACAGCTGAATGTATTTCTGAAACATATTCTTTGGCAATACATGTACTATGGCTTCCTTTGGTGTGCATTAGCAGCAGAAAAAGATATAAAGTTATCTATCAAAACAGTCAGTGGTACTTTCTGGCCTTTTGCGACATTTGCTTTGATTCAGAAATATGAGTTCTAAGGCCACACCAATTTAATTTCTTGATTGACGGATTCGCCGCTTCATTTTTTTCTGATTTGCAAATAAAAATAAAAATCCAGAATCAACTGCAAAATGCTCATATTTTGCCCTGAACAGTTGAAAACAGTCCTTTTCATCCTAGTTGTTACAGTTATTCCATCTTTCAATGGAATGGTATCATTAAAAGTTCAAAATTCATTGTTTAAATTTTGAACCAGCCTGGTGTGTTGACTTCATGGCTCCTATCGTACCATTTTGGGCCAAAATAGGATGCCTAGGCCTGTTTTTATTTTTTTTATTTTTTTCGCCCGCCCGCTCCATTATTTTTCTAGAAAAATCCGTTAACCAAGAAATTAAATTGGTGTGGCCTAAGTTTATTTCTTTAATTCAGTGTATCATAGAAAGCACCCCATGGGTAAGTCTGCTTCTTACATGTTGTAATGCATTCTGTAACTGTCTACATATACTAGTATACAGCGACTCTTGTGAAGCTCTAACTGCTGAAATTCAATACTAGTAAAACAAGTGCCTGCATCAGTAAACATTTCCACAGCTATTTCACAAACACAACAATTGTTTGGTCAGGCAGAGCCTTATGCTTGACCTAATTTTACCCCTGGGAAGAAAACTTGAAGTACACATAAAACTGGAGGCTGCCTTCCGACTGTTTAGTAGAAAAAGTTGCTCAATTCTTGCTAATTTAGAAAATTCTAAAAAATATGGAAGCAAAGGCCAAAACTAAGACAAATGCACTAGAGGCCACCATGTTTATTTGTTTGCAGTTGCAAATAACAGTTTCTTGGTTCATACATGCCCGTAGCCAGGATTTTGAAGGGGCGGGGTTCTTCCCACTGAGGGACCAGCGAGCGCTGAAGGTGCGAGGTTCCTAGTGCTAGGGGGGTCCGGAGGCAATTTTGAAAAATGAACCTTCTGAAATGGCATTTCCTGCAGTTTTTAGAGGATTTCAAAGAAAAAATCAGAGATAACTTTTTTCAATGACAAAGTGAGCAGTTTTCCTACGATTCCAGCCTCACTGGTGACACGAATCAGTCCATCTTTAAAAGAAAAATCTTGGACCTTTAGATGAAAAGTGGACCAAAAAGTGGACCTTTGGGCCTTGTGGGGGGGTTCGTCCAAACCCCCCCTGGCTACAGGCATGTCATAGTATTCCAGCAAGGTTTTTGAAAGATGGATGGAAGGTAAAAATCGTGTCAAACAAAAACTACCGGTTGTGTCTAATTTTGGTAGGTGTCCTCCCCTGTATTTAGCACAATCAAGTTCAAATTCAATGGGGGAGAGGGCAGACACATACAGGGATTATTTTACATTGTCTGTGGTTTCATCTGTTCAAGAAATATCCTCAACTGACAAGGCTCTGTAACCCAAGTGCCCCGTCATTGGCAATGGTTCACTAATGATATCTATACCTTGAACCCTTCTCCATATACAGTCTTGGCCTCCAATAGCTCTGGCATACTATAGCTTGTACTCTCACATTGGCCAATCACCTAGGGAACTATGCATGGTAAACAGACATTTTTATCAAGGGAGAAGAAATACAACTGTAATTATTATCTTGTAACAACAAATTTTGTCTCCAAAGATGGACAAAGGAATGAGCTGCGTTAAAAATAATTCTGTCTGGAGAAAGAGTCTTAGGGGAAAAAGTCTTTAAAATCGTAACAGAATTATGTCATTCAGCCCGCAGGAAATGATGCAAGAGCGATGTCAAATAAGAGTCATTGATAAACATAACATATAGCTAGCCTGCGGTATATAAGGTTACAAGTGGACTTCAAGACCACTTAAACTTGGAGATTTGATTTGTTTCAAAGAAATCAAATTTGCTGGTAGACCATCTCCCTGTAAATGGTTTCACTGGAAAATTAAATGGATATGGATGTCAAAAGTTAGTCCTATTATATTACAACTGTACGTGACCTAGTATTGCAGCTATGGTATTCCCCGCTGTGAACTACGCAGACTATCGCATTTCACTTTCATCATATTTTTATCGCTGGTCACTGGAGGCAAGACCCCGTGGACATTGTGGGAATAACACAAGCCACAGAGCGGAAATCGGAAACGTAGGAACTAATAACTTTCCAAGGATGACGAGAATTTCAAGAGTGTCCAAACAAAATGGCGCCATTTGATTTATGTTATATTGTGCCATCATTGTCTTTAGCCAAGGCCACACATTGACTGAAATATATTTTTGTACATCCTGTTTGATATTAAAAAAGAGCATCTAGTGGGTTTGGCTATTCCTTTTTGATCTCAATCTTACTGGGTAACTGACAATGGGGTTAGTAAAATTACAGGAGTGTTCAGGTTGGTTGTTCAGGGCTCAAAATGCTGGTGCATGTGCACCTTAGTGACTTAGTGCACCCAAATTTGGAGCAGTGCACCCAATTTTTTTCTGTGGGTGCACCAGTGCACCAAAATATTTTCATAGGTTTACATACTAGTTATAATGTAAAGATGTTTTTAAATGTATAGTAAGTAGTACAGCATATTCTTAAATTTTAAGTGAAAGAAAAATAATAAAATGTAGTAGTACTTTTTGCACTCTACTAAATATCTTACATATGGTGCACCCAAAAAATTTTGTGTGTACCCAAGTTTTTAGGTTGGGTGCACTAGTGCACCTATTCCCAAAAATGAATTTCAAGCCCTGTTGTTGCATTGCATCACCAATGCATTGTGACATGACCTTGGTGATGGTGATTGTAGGTCGGGTAATGTCATGTAATGAGGAGGAATGACTTTTACTGGGGCAAACTACATCAGTAATGGCACTGTTCTACTGCAGTTCCATTACACTGCAGAAATGTATGTATTGACTGAGTATTGAAGAACCATGAGTTCTTGTAATGCCTGGCAGTTTAGTAAGTATGCTGAGGTTTAAATGCTTCTATTTGCAGTGAGAAAAAGCTACCGGTATAGTGTATTAACAGAAAGCTACTGGTAATTCAAGGCAGTTTTGAAAAATGAATGCAAACTATTATGGTAAAATGTAAACTTTATTTCATATTTACCCTTTTTGACTTTTATGCTTGAAGCCATTTACGAAAGTTGTTACATTTTCATAAAGGCTTATCACAATATTTTCCCTGTGTGGAATTTGATATTCATGAAGTAATAAATCAGAATAATTTACATGTATGGGTTAGATGTGGAGGTAATCAGCAAAGTAATAGAGCTATTATATGTAGTGTTAGGCATCAAACAATGGAAATTGCACGTTAGGCAATTCCCATATTGAGTATGACAGCAAATTGAACTACAGGTGTATTAGTATTGGAATCATGGATAAATTTTGCATCTCTGTACCTTTGTATAAAAATTAAAACATCTTGTCAAATATAGATACACATGTGTACCACAATTTGCACATATGATATCTACTAGTTAGGCCACACCAATTTAATTTGTTGGTTCTCGGATTTTTTCAGAAAAAATATGAAGCGACAGGGCGAAAAAAAAAAAACAGCTCTAGGCATCCTATTATAGGGTTAAATGCTACAAAATGAGCCATGAAGTCAACACAAAAGGCTGGGTTAAAATTTAAACATTGAATTTTGAACTTTTAATAAAACCACTGCAATGATAGATGGGAAAACTGTAACAACTAGGAAGAAAAGGACTTTCCTCAACTGTTGGGGGCAAAACATGAGCATTTTTCAGTTGATTCAGGACCAGAATTCAATTTTTTTTTTTTTGTCAAATACAGAAAAAAACGAAGAGGCGAATCTGAGAACCAACAAATTAAATTGGTGTGGCCTTAGAGGAAATGAAATGGTTAGCTGACTACAATGTAGACATTATGCACAGCCATGGGAGTAATAAACAATCATTTATGATATAATTACAATAGGAATCACACAACAATGGAGAAAAATAGGTGCCCTTGATCGATCAATGACTTTGGCAGCCAGTTTGCAGTCCAGCTAAGCATCACCACTAAACCATACTCTATTGATTGCACTTGAACTCTAGCCAGATGGACCCATATATATTCCGGTCATGATGAGTATTATTGGCTAAGCATGAGAAAACTGAGTTAGAAGTCCAATACACCACATGCAGTAATCTTAATGCAGAAAGGCAGTAAAGACTAATGTAATTCTTCTTCTCTAAATCACCAGACAAATTTTATTTGCTGTAACATAGCCAGCAGTCAGGATTCCATTCAACTGTTTATGTTGAACTTGAAGTAAAGGAGCAAGAAGAAATGAATCAATTACTGTCTCCATACTGGCAAACTAGTTACATGTCAATAATTTTCTTCATTTTACGTGAAAGGGACATGCGTTGTCATTTTCTTTGATGGTAGTTTTGTGGTTGTGATTTTACTGCCACCATATCAACCTAAGGAACATTGGCTTTTTGAGAGTAAAAAACTGAGAGTAAAAAATCCTGGGAAATGCTTGTCCTTTAATTTTACGTGTATTGCTATTTCTAACACTCTAGAGACCGATCAGCGAATAGATCCAGAGTGCAACTTTCCCCTTGGAGTTAGCAGTAGACTCATCACTGATGGACAGATTTCTTCCACATCATACGTCGACTACTACAGGGCACCCAGATATGCAAGGCTTAACAGAAGAGAAGGTGAGACAAACTAGAAAGGTAACATTTGCAAAGCAAATGCATAATGTTTTCCTTTGAATATGGACCTTAATGTTTTGGGGAAGAAGAAGAAGAGGAAACAGAGTAAAAACATTATGTTTTCCTTCGGTGAACATTACAAAGGAATTTTAAAAAGTCTAAAGCAGCGGGAGATTTCATTGTAATTTTATCAGGACATTTTTGTATGCCTGTGATTGAAGAAATATTATCAATGCCACTTGCATGTTCAGGGCTTGACTGCAATTAGACAATGTAGACTGGTCCTGACTGTCCATCATAATTATCAGCTCAACCAATGATTACATGGCAGTTAGTGTTCTGACCAATGGGAGAGTAGCTGCATGTCCATCAAATATTTGCTTTACATTTTTATTCTATATTTCTAAAGTTTGACAGAGACATGAACATTATCACAGTTTGATGTAAGTAAAGCCATCAGAGACCCCTAAGATTTTGCAAGGCTTGAGACAATAATCACGATGGCTTCCAATACACGTGTAGGTCTTGGTGGTTGGAGTGCCTCGAGAGACGACTTTTCGCAGTACCTGACCTTTGACCTGCTGGATCGGTCAAGAATCACTGCCATCTCCACCCAGGGTCGCTTTAATAGCGACGAATGGGTGAAGGAGTATCGGATCCAATTCAGCGACAACAGATGGCAGTGGAGAACCTATGGCACAGTAAGTTTGTGTATGTATGCATGTGTGTATGTACATGTGTCTGTGTGCACATGTAGGTATGTACATGTATGCGTATATTTAGGTACAATTACAACTACATGTACATTATGACAACAAAATATAAGGACATCTTTTGATAGAATAGTAAAATCCACGAGAAAGCTAGCTAGAGATTTGGTTTACCCGAGCTTGGTTTAGCAGAAAAAGATAAGGCCACACCAATTTAATTTCTTGGTTAACGGATTCGCCCGCTTCATTTTTTTCTGATTTGCAAATAAAAATAAAAATTCAGAATCATCTGCAAAATGCTCATATTTTGCCCTGAACAGTTGAAAACAGTCCTTTTCTTCCTGGTTGTTACAGTTATGCCATCTTTCAATGCAGTGGTGTCATTAAAAGTTCAAAAGTAATTGTTTAAATTTTGAACCAGCCTGGTGTGTTGACTTCATGGCTCCTATCGTACTATTTTGGGCCATAATAGGATGCCTAGGCCTGTTTTTATTTTTATTTTTTTTGCCCGCCCTCTCCATTATTTTTCTAGAAAAATCCGTTAACCAAGAAATTAAATTGGTGTGGCCTAAGGTACGAACATGTGGCACTTCCTACTTTTTTGCTCCAAATCATTGCATTTATTGATTTTATGCAATTCATTTAGCATGGAGAACTTTTTATCATCTCTTGTACATGTATGGGTATCATTCCACGGGTCTTTTCTGATCATCATCATCATTGGCAGTAGCTCATAGTCTGAGCATTCGAGTTCTTTTCTGATGAATGTGCTACGAAACACCCACTGAAAAACCCCTGAATTGCCTATTTAAATTAGGAAAGTGTAAAAGCGCTGAAGTAATGATTTGCCTTCTGTTTCTTCACCTGTACCCTCAGACCCTGAAGGGAAACAACAACGCGGACACCGTCGTTAAGAACATTCTGACCGGAACGTGGATCGGCCGCTACATGCGCATTAACCCTCGCTCCTGGAACAAGAAAATCTCCATGCGTGTGGAAATCTACGGCTGCCTGGATAGTACGTCTTTTTTCTTCTTCTATGGTTTTGATGTGATGGCCGTTATAAACTTGGTAGCGTTGAAAAATTTGCATACATTTATGTCATGATCTGTAGAATAACATTTTTTAACATTTAGGGAGATGATTTAAAGGCTAAACTTTGTCTTTGGTATTTCTTTCTTCACAGCAAGAGGCAAAAACTTACTGACAGATGCAAAATGCATTGTGTTGGTAGTGATTGAAGCAACAGGGATCCATAATAATGGCAAAGTAACTTGCTGCAGTACTAACAAAATTATCTAGGAGGCACTGTTGAACATGCTGTCCTAGGTAAAATGTCTGAACTCTCTCCATCTTCAACATTTCAGGAGCACACTCTGCCACTTTTGGAGGGGATGGCTACCTCCGCTACGAAATCTCGCGTGAGGAAGACCGTGTAGCGACCTACCAGGACTCGATCAAGATGCGTTTTAAAACAAAAGAGCCTCACGGGATGCTGCTTTACGGCCACGGATCTCAGAACGACTTCATCTCACTTGAACTGATCTGGGGAAAGATCTGGCTTCGTATGAATCTTGGTATGTGCACACAAACTTGTGTTGGATATTCTCATTTATGATCCCAAAAATTGAGTTTTTATAAGAATGTGTCCAACACACATTTTTCATATCTTATGAAGATAGAAGTTCATTTTACCACAACTCTTACTAAAGAACTTGCTGTCACCAAATACAGTAGGGGCATTATCATTAGATAGCTAACAATGCTTAGAGTTAGATGTTAAAGGGTTAGGCTTCTGCCGCTGCGCCGCATGCATGTGGAGCTGGTGTGTTACGCCGAAGGGCAGTTATACCAGCTGATACAGATACAGAAGAACATCTGGAAATATCTCTAAGTTTAGACTGGCATATCACTCTTTGATAAATGCATGTGATTATCCTATTATGTTGATTTTTTTCATACTGAAAAGAAATTTCTGGTTGGTTTTGTCAGGTACGAGCCGGTCTGTGGAAGGTTACACGGAGGTCACTGCTGGGTCGTTGTTAGACGACGATCAGTGGCATTCCATCGAGATCGCCCGGAACAGGAGAGATGTCAGTCTAAAGGTGGACAGGTTCTTTGTCAAGTTCAGGACAAACGGAGACTTTGAACGTCTGGATTTGGATCGACAGGTTTGTTTTTAAATTTTTTCATTTCTTCGGGAGATACTTTCATCAACTCTACTAATGCTCATGTGAGATAAGGTGCTTTAAAGTCCACCAAACATATTGAATCTAAACAAATTGGTGTGAATACATTTCTAAGCAGATTTTAATGTTGATGTTGCTTTCATGATGTCAAAAAGAGTCAGTTTTTAGATGATAAGAATCTTCATCTAACATCTACGCTGGATAAAATGTTATCATCTTCAATGTTATTTAATAATGACACCTTGATGACACCTAACACTTAACATGAGGAGCTTCATATACATGTACATTGAAGTACAAGAAGATCATTTCAGTAGTTGTTTTTTTCCAATTTTAACAGAATAATCTGCTTTTTCCTTTAGATCACTGTTGGAGGTGTGGACTTCCTGTTTCCGGGTGTGATCGTGCGCTACAACTTCCAGGGCTGCTTGCAGAACGTTTTCTTCAACGGAATCAACATGATTGAGAGAACACAACGACAAGTCGACGCTTTCTCCAGCGTGGGTTCTGTGTCGTACAGCTGCCAGGGAACCACTCAAAAATCCCTCACCATCCCCTCACCCGAGAGCTACATGCGCCTACCAGGGGCAAGGTACTGCTTAGCTGTACTACAAGTACAATTATGGCTTAGAAGTTCATAGTCAGGGAACTCTTGACATACTAGCTTAGTAGTGTCCAAAAACATTGTCTAAGATATACAAACACTCATGTTGCTCAAAGTTAGAGTCAGAAATTGTAAAAAAATTCTTTCTTGTTAATGCATGATAGTTTCTGTATTCCTGTCTTTTTAGCGATTGACCACAAATGACCACCCTGAGGCTGTCCTTGCCATACAAATCTTAAATTTTTTGCTTTAGTTATATCCAGACTGAATCTATTTAAATCCTGAATTTGAGCACAATCTGGACATGATCAAAGCAAAAATTTTAGATTCCTGCGACGAGGACAGCCCCAGAGTGATCATTTGTGGTCATTTGCTAAAAAGACACTCCCTCTGTTTTCTGTACATTCTGTAGTATTTCTTATGCTTACTTTTGTAAAAAATCTGTCTACTCAATAGTTTGGGCCCCCTTGAAAAACATTTTGACAGAATTAGATGGGGCTCCCTAGCTGTCTGAAAATTCAATGAAAAAATAAATGTGAGTATAATGATCAGCCATTGCAGACAGAAAAACTTAGACTTCTTTGTATTGTAACAGTGCAAGAAACAGCATCGCTTTTGGGTTCGAGTTCCGAACATTCAACCGGGAGAGCATGATGGCGTACACACAGATCAACCAAGGCACGGGATCTATCTTGGTGCGTCTTGCTGATGGACGACTGAATGTGACGATTGTCCGGATGGTCAACAACGTGGAGCGCGTCGTTCCTATACTCTCTGGTAAGCCTTTAAGACTCTGAACAGTTATGGACATTAGGCTTGATAATTTAATAATTTAGCACACTCATGTCGAGCATAACAAATACCTGTCTGCCTCTGTTCTATATAGATGAGTACCAGAACGATGGGCGATGGCACAGTGTGGTCGTGAACGCGACCGAGAACTCGGTCATTGTGACCTATGACTACAACAGAACCATCAACACCAACACCGTGCTCCAACTGTCCACTGGGGATAAGTACTACCTGGGAGGTTAGTACGCTCTGTTGTGTCAATTAGGTTAATGGAAATCAAGTTCTGGTTAGTTCTTCGGAGCCAACAAAAAAATCCTATCATTCAGTTCATTTTGCACACAATAGACCGTCTATTCACACTATATTCAGCATATTGCGCAATCTTGGATCAAAGCAAAGCTTGGAAGGCAAGCGCACCTTAATTAGTGCCGTAATTACCTAGTCACAAATATGCAAATGAATCATTAATATGCAAATACAGGCTCCATTGAGTAAATGATCCTGGGGGATGCCCTTCTTGTTTGTTTGCCTTCCAAACCTTGTTTTTGTGTAAACATGGCCATTATGTGACTAAGGAATATAAAACTTAAATATAAATATAATATAATATATAACAAAATATAAAAACTCTTCCGCCAGGTTGTCCTCCTTCGGCCATTTCTCAAGAGGGTTGCCCAATCAGAGGGGAGCTCAAACCCTTCCAAGGTTGCATGCGGCGGATCGTGATAGACGGACAGAACATCGACTTGCAGCGTCTGGAAGATAATCGTCTGCCAAACGCTGTCAAGACGGGCATTCAGTTCAACTACTGTGGCCTTGTAGACAGGTAAACAAGCTCTGTCTGTCTCTGTTCTGTAGCAGTTGTTATTTATTGGGTGGGCCAGCTACTCTCTCCTTGCAGCCAAGGGCTGAATTGTGAGGAGCTTACAATTGGTGGGGCTGAATCGCAAGGGTCTGGATCGCTAATCCAGGTGATCTCATGTATATGACCCAGGTGCAACCATACTTATCCATAGGACTGTAAAAAAAAGTGTAAGGTTCAAACCACTCACACCGGGAAGGTTCCCCTACTCTTTTCAATAAGTGTGTTGTGTGTCTAATTCAATTTTTGTCGTAGTCTCTCTTTTAGTCATCACATTTGTCCTTCTGTACTGTAAGCAACTATAATTTTGTTAAATCATAGGATAATCATATGCAAAACATTCACATTATAGCAAGCACTGCATAAAGATCTATACAGAATTGATACTCCGAAACCTCCCTCAGTAAGTTTGTATTATGGTAGCTACATAGTACAGGGGAAAGTAGGAAAAGGTATGTAACTGAGATAGATATATATACTAGTAATGAAAGTTCCATGTTTTCAGATGCACACCTAATCCATGTGAGCACGGTGCCACTTGTGAGCAGGACTGGTACACCTTCACCTGTAACTGTCAACCAACAGGGTACAATGGCGCCACCTGTCACATGAGTAAGTACTGCAGTTTTATCACTTCAGGTAGTGCACAACTTCTCCACTAACATTTTGTTATGCGTCTGTACATCTGCGCATTTATTTCAATCCATGAAAGAAATAACTGGAAAGTTTCTATGAATACTTTGTGACTCAAGTTCAGTTCAAAGATTCATAATTTATACTGGTCAAAGACATCCAAGGATTTTTAAGACATAGTCTAACCAACATTTAATGATTCATATCAACTCTATGTATACAAAATTGAATTAAGAAACCAACAGAAAAGGTGGGGCCTAGGAAAATTAAAGGTCAGTCCTGACAAAACTAGGGTTGGTAGATAGGCTAAAATGATCCAATGATGTCTCAAGGCCTAGGCTAGGGTCAGCGAGTTTTTGCTAGGGTTGTTCAGGGAAAGTAGAAACACAGCATTTTTTCCCAGGCCCAAGTACAATGTTCAGTTTTTTTTTCAGTTTTTATTCGCACTTTAAAACAAAATGTAACAATACAGATACAAGAAAATATAAATGAAATGTAACAGTGCAGGGAGGCCGGAAGCATAAAATGCTTATGAGGAGGCCTCCCTTCATAACTTAATTAACAATTCAAACAAATCGGATAAATAAGAAATAACTTACTAGATAACGGGTAAATGAAACAAAACAATAAAATACAATACGATACAATACTATCTACAATAATGAAAAGTAGTAATGAAGAGTAGTAAACAAGGAAAATTAAACAAAAATTAAGAATGTGTGGGGTTATTTATGTTTGGCTGCTACATTTATGTTTGTGACAGTGTTGAAATAAACCATTCATATACATGTATACTAGACAATAATTGTGCTCACCATGTCGTGTTTACAGCAAAGTATGAGGACTCCTGTGCGAACTACAATCCGTTTGGAGAGGGTGTCGCGAGTGGCACAAAGTTCATTGACCCCGATGGCAGCGGTCCCCTGGCTCCCTTCCCAGTGCAGTGTGCCACCATTGACTGTAAGGAAATAACTTTTTTTTTTACCTCTAACATAATTATATTATATTATCATATAGCCGAGTGACGTCAACCAATGAGAAGCCTCCATTTCCCATTGGTTATCAGGCCGTATATGTAACATCATAAGTGGTGAATAAGGAAAAATTGGTCATTTATTAGAATAACCGACCACTTGTCTTCTGTAAAATGACTTCACCATAGAGGAAAAATTTAAGAGTAAGTTGCTAACAATTCATCTTTCATAGTACACACCGTAGAAACCGTCATCACACATGACTCCATGGCGAGAACACAAGTCAGAGGGTTCGCAGGGGCAGGGACGTACAGCAAAGACATCAAGTACCAGGGATCCCTGCCACAAGTTCTGCCCCTCATGATGAGATCTGAACGTTGCCAACAACGTATTAGATATGAGTGTACAAACTCACGTCTGCTCAATTCTCCAAGTAAGTGTTTTCTATGTTTTCTACAATTTCTGCCTTTCTAGCATAAGGCCACACCAATTTAATTTCTTGGTTAACGGATTCGCCGCTTCATTTTTTTCTGATTTGCAAATAAAAATAAAAATCCAGAATCAACTGCAAAATGCTCATATTTTGCCCTGAACAGTTGAAAACAGTCCTTTTCATCCTAGTTGTTACAGTTATTCTATCTTTCACTGCAATGGTATCATTAAAAGTTCAAAATTCATTGTTTAAATTTTGAACCAGCCTGGTGTGTTGAGTTCATGGCTCCTATCGTACCATTTTGGGCCATAATACGATCCCTAGGCCTGTTTTTATTTTTATTTTTTTTCACCCGCCCGCTGCATTATTTTTCTAGAAAAATCCGTTAACCAAGAAATTAAATTGGTACAGTCATATTAGTAGTACCTAATTCTAGCAGGGCACAGTCATATTAGTTACCTAAAAATGTTTTGGAAAATAGACTGAATATTTTCACACCTCAATCATTACCCAACATCACTCAATAGCTGTTTGTACATGCCACTGAAATGTAAAACAGAGACATTTGCATCAGGCCATTATGAGTTACAACCACATTGTAGCCCTGAGCTGCAATATAATGTTGATCATTAGGAGGCATAACTGTACCAATGCCTTGCCTTTGCAATTTTAGCAGTGCTGCTGTGGCTATTGTATTGGCTCAATCATACATTTTAATACTTTACGCTTTCAATTCTCTGGTAAATTTGTTATTAGAACGAGAAAAAGATTTTTCTGGTTCTACTATTTCTAACAATATTAACCATTATGTTTGATATTATTTAGATGGACAACCGTTCGGTTGGTGGGTTGGCCGCACTAATGACAAGATGGTGTACTGGGGAGACGCTGGTCCAGGTACCCAGAAATGTGCCTGTGGTCTGGACGGGACTTGTCGAGATCCTGCCAAATACTGCAACTGTGACGGCACTGCTGGCTTCGAGTCAGTTAGGTCAGTAGATTCGAGAGTTCTCAGTACTTGTTTATTAATGTAATTGTGGTAGCAAAATTTTGCAGTCTGAGAAAAATGAATATGTTTGCGGAACTATATATTTGCAGTGGTGGCAGGTGCATGCAGAAAAAAGAAAATTGAAAAATTATTTGTTCATGGTAATGATAAATTCGCGGTACAAAAGTGAACACGAAAACCGGGAATATATTAAAAAGTACTGCGATGATACAGTGATTTACAGTATTAGTAAATTCTCGAAAAATGTTGTTGCACAAATAAACTTATCATTTTGTGAGCACCTAAAGCCATCCACCTGCTCAGTTTTGAAAAATTGAGTCTTTCACAGGACAACTGACACAATCGTCGAATTTGCATTTCAGGGGTATAGATGAGGGTTACCTGACCCAGATGCCGTACCTGCCTGTCACTCAGCTGCGCTTCGGTGACACCAATCCTGGCAGCGGCTTCCACACACTGGGACCACTGGAGTGCTATGGAGACAGTAAGACTTACTCTTGGAACTTTTCTAAAATTTCAATAAGTACAGTCAAACCTGCCAAGGTGACAATCTCTTCAAACTGGCCACCTGGTGATTAAGACCACTTTTTCTTGGTCCCCAAAATTTTTCCCATTGACACAAGCATTAAGCCACCCGTCTTGACCTGACCGACGCCACTGCGACTGCTGTGAGTTGGGTCTGCTCAAGGCCCGATACCTGCCCATGGCGACCATGTTTGTCATTTTCAATCGTGTTGATTATTGATGATGACTAATGAGAAATCATGGAGAAACCAGCCAGTTTGCCTCAACTGCTGGAATCATACTGATAGCTACTTCTGATATAGTTTTACTTGTCTAATTTATTCTCGATCTACATCTTTCTACAGTCTTGTTCAACAACTCGGCAACCTTCAAGGCTGCCGAGGCCCACCTACGCTTCCCAACATTCCAAGCGAAACGCTCTGGAGACATCTGCTTCCAGTTCATCACGCGGGCGGCGCAGGGCGTGTTTGTCCACAACAGGGGGGCACGTGACTTCTTCAAGGTGGAGATGTTGTGTGAGTAGACGCTACTTACTTTCTATCCTTGCAATGGGTTTATTCCACCAGATTTTTGTGTCCGCATGAGGTGAAAGCAGGCCAGGAATGGTCCTGGGGCCTGCCTTCCATGCCGCTCGACTGTTGCTAATTAGCTATGGCAAAGTCTGATCAAAGACAATCATTTATTTGTACACAAAAAGGTCACTTAGAATCCAAATTTTCCTTTTAATTCAAATCACAACCAAGAAGTTGAAGTATATTTCAGTTTATATTTCAGGTAAAATTTCTCCAATGAAGTCATTACCAAGCAAAGAATATCATTAATGACTCTTAGGATGAAGTAGGATTAATGTGCTTTGCTATCCTGTTAAAAATCATTCCTTGTTTTTCTGGCAGCCCCCCGACAAGTTTCCTTGTCATACGATGTGGGTAACGGTCGGAAAGAAGTGGTGAAGACAATGACCTATGACCTCAACGACAACCGCTTCCACAGCATCTGTGCCGAGCGAAACGTGAAGGAGGCTCGTATCGTGGTGGACAAACAACGATTCCAGGATCCGAGCCTTGCCGAGGCGACCGAAGCAGAAGTGATGGACGCACACGAGTCCCTGAATCTCAACAGTCAACTCTTTGTTGGTAGGTACAAGTATGATCTTTGAAAATGTCCTTTTATTATATCATATTATATTTATTTTACCTTCGCAGAAAGAAAACATGTTGTTTTTGCTCTGTTTCTTCTTCCTCTTCTTCAAACAAATAAGGTCCATGACCTGAACCAGACATCTGTTACCATGGTAACTAGTGTTGGGTTACATCATGTTGCAATTTTATAGCAGGAGGGATTTAGACTCCTGTCACCATATATGTATGAATGCGTTTGAGTAAGAATTAACAGAGCAGACCATATGCGAAGGTAAACATTATGTATTAATTTGCTTTGCAAATGTTCCTTTCTATATTACATACTTGTGTTAAGAGGGGAATTTTTTAATAAGATGAACTTCAAGTGAAAAAAGTAAATGTCGTTAAAATGTATAACTTCAGACAATGTCTCCCTAGAGCACCTAGTTTGGCTGAATGATGATGCAAATAAGCTTTCAGGTTGAGATTTCATAAGCCGATACAAAGCAAATGCCTACATAAATGTAGTTGGATTGGGTTGTCAGTTGTATCATCATCATTTTAGTTAGTACGTATACATGGGTATACCAAATGAAAAGTGATACATACAATTGTCGTTTTCAGGCTCAGACACAGAGGGTAGAAACGGTTTCATCGGTGTGATACGTGATCTAAGCGTGAACGGCGTACATCAGGACCTGTACAGCGCTGCCATACCTGCCTGGGGTGTGGAGCCCGGAATGGTCCGACTGTGCGAGCCCGTGAACCCCTGTCAGAACAACGCCACCTGTATCGAGGGCTGGGGATTCTATGAGTGCAACTGTACTCTCACACCACACGAGGGGCCTACATGTTCAAATGGTGAGTGATGATCTTCAACACATTATGGCAATGATGTGTGCGAGCAGTTGATATGGAATGCAGGCACATTCTTAGCCTGAGTACCATCCGAATTTTGCTCCGCTACACTAGAAAAAAATCATGATTTTTTTCTAGTAATTTTGATCTATAAAAAGTGATCATGGTATTGATTTCTATAACATAGTATAAGACAAGCTTTATTTTAAACTTAATAGTATCTAATAAAGTAGGACTTTGTGCAGATAAAATTGATAATGATGATTTGTGTTGCTTTAAAGTTTCTATGCAATCTGTTGTATGCTTCTGTTCATTGCTCTGTACATGTATATCGCATGACCTACAATAAGGTACAAGTACACTTAGTACCCTCTTCTTACAACAAAAAACAACACCGTATCTTTTGATTGCTACCCTTCTCTCTCATTTCTTCTTTCAAACCATTTCTTTGACCAGTCTCCCGTTTGTTCCCTTCTTTCCCAATCAATGCTTCTCCCTCCTAGAGATCACTGTGCCTGTCATCGATGAAGATCTTCAAGACTTTTCTGGCAAGCTCCTTCAAATCTTGGTTCCTCCATCTCATTCTCCATTCCTCCATATTCATCATGGTACACTATCTGTCAAATCTGGACCTGTCTATCAATCTTTCTTGATTTATTTGTTTGAGCCATATGCTATTGACCATTCATTTAGAAAACTTGTTTGATCCTAATGCTTATGACTATGTTTCAATGATATCATTGAAAAATCATCCGAACTTCTTTTATACCAAGACTTCAATATTTTCTGTCAATCGTGTCTCTCCCCCCTCCCCAATTTTTCTGATGTTCTAATGTTTTAATTTTGGTACACCAATAGCTCTTCCCTTTTTTGAAGTTACATTCTATAATGTGTCCTCTTTATCGTCATAGAAATTGGAGCACGAATGGAATCGGCCAGCTACCTTGAGTACACATTCCCGGTAGAATTCCGTGATTCCGTGAAGGACAACATCACCGTCGGTTTCATCACGGAGCACAAACAGGGCATCCTGATGCACGTGGAGTCGGAGACTGGCAACTACATGACTCTACGGATCAAGGACAGCGGTACGCACTGCACTCATGTCAAATGGATGATTGATTGATTGATTGATTGATTGAGATGTGAGAAAGTGAGTGAGTGAGATGTGAGTGATTTATTGAGTGAGTGAGTTAGTGAGTGAGTGAGTGAGTGAGTGATGGTAAATGGATGAGTGAAGAAAGGAGGGAAGGAAGGACGGACGGAAAACTAATATGAATGAAAATGAATGAAATTGTCTCCAAGCAGATGGGCACTTTTTTCTGTTTATCAAAAATATGATCAGTTTGTACATTGTACATCTTTTACTACAAGTCAGACCTGGGTCTTGATGAATGCATTAGATGAATGGATGATAAAATTTAGCAACAAAAGAAAAAGGCAAAGAACTTCCGAAGTACATTTTTTGTAATCTTGAATACAATCAAACCTGTACAAGAGACCACCCCTACATGTGGACCAACTGGCTAATGTAACCACTCTTTGGTGGCCCGAGACAATTTTTTCTGTCTTTAGTGACCACCTGTCCACAATTAGACCAGATTTTATTAGTCCCTTATAACATATTGTTTGCCTCTGTTTCCTCTTCTTCTTGACTTCTCCAAACCAATAAGGTCAATGACCTGAACCAGATGTCTGTCATTATGGTAACTGGTCTTGGATTACATCATGTTGCAATTTTTTATAGCAGGAGGGATTTTGACTTTTTATCTGTTTCCTACAGGTGGAATTCAGTTGAGGTTTGACCTGGGTGACGGTCGTGACGAGGAACTGAACAACGATCTACACGACTATGCCGACGACCAGTACCACACGGTCAACATTACTCGGGTGGGGAAGAGGGTCAGCATGCTGGTGGACGGGTACCTGCTGAACCAGCGCACCTTTGACATCAGTAACGACCGCTTCAAGGGACTCAACAATGGCGGCAAGCTGTACGTCGGACGCATTCAGCGCGGGGGACAAGGTAACTATTGTAACAGGCCAATTCGTTAAGTACAATTAGAATATGTAACAGTGGAGGGTACTCTAGACCTTTTAGCCAAATTGTTAGAGTGTCGGCATGTGCACTGGTGCCCGGGTTTGGCGTGGGTTCAAACCCCGGCCAGGGACCAGGAGTGTCTTTCTGTATCTACTCTCCTAATTCTTACAGTTACATAGATGGTCCAAGGAGGTTGAATTTTAACCTCCTTGGAATTGGATGGTCTGGGCCGCATGCTCTCACGGACCCAAGACCTACATTCACGAGTTGCACATTCCCAGGATCCTTTGCACACAGGGTGGGGAAAGGTCACGGTAAACCACGTGACTCATCCTCGGCTCTGGTCGGAAGAAGGTGCCCTAAGCTATCTGGCCGATAGTAGGCTGGGAGCATTCAATTTCAATTTAGTCTGTCTTTTTGTCACATTTTCACGTAGTATGTTGAATCAACCCTATTCTATCCCATACCGATAGTCATGGAGCAAAAATTTGATGCCGCTTTGCCGTACGAACGCCGTACGAATGCCGTGAAAAACTACGTGCCTCCCGCCGCCGGCAGTGGTGTCAGCCATTTTTGAAATTTCCGAGCGCTCGCGAACACTTCCGACTTCTTCCGACCAGAGCCGAGGATGAGTCACGTGGTTTACCGCGACCTTTCCCCACCCTGTGCGCAAAGGATCCTGGGAATGTGCAACTCATGAATGTAACCACCATGGTAGTTGAGTTGGCAGGTCAAAGGAATAAGTAGGCAACCTCAGAGGTTGAGTTCTGTCTGTCTTGAAACAATTATATCGCATCCTGTCTGAGGTTGCACACACTCCTTTGTGTTTAAATTTTGGGCACAGATAGACTGTGATTTCCAAGCTTTTCCTTGACAAAAACAAACTTGCCTCTACAAGGTTAACGAACAGGACATCTTTCTTGGTGTAGTATGCCGGTATGAAGAGATAAAAAACCCCCAGCTGAACAGAACAGTTGTCTTGTATTGAGAAACCCAATCACATACCTGGTGTGTAATAACCATGGCCTCCCCAAGAAGGGTGCTGCCTTTGCTTCTCTTCCTGTGTGTTATCCTGACAAGGGAAAGTCCATTACTTCCTAGGAGAGGGGATGTTTTGTCCCTCTACTGTAATGTTCAGCCATAGCTTCAAACTTAAACAAAACATGCAACATAGCCCATTCAAAAGTTTTAATTTTTGATAGGTCTTCTCAAATCCTTATCTACTAAAATCTACTTATTAGTATACCTGTTTTCTACGTACAACGGATAACCCCTGGCCCCTCCCTTGGTAGTATCAAACTGAGCAGAGCAGTAAAGTCTGTCTTAGGTAATTACATTCTTTTGACAATGTGGGGGAGACATTTTTTTAAACAGACAAATTTTGTACAAGTAGCCGAAAATATATAAATTTTCTTTTAAAAAGCTATTAATATTCATATCATCATTACATACTAGAGTGTAAAAATGGTTCTTATGTTTGAAATCATGTCAGTTATCACTTTGCACACCCCTAATCTGTCAAGAGTATGGTATGGTCTGCATTATGAAGAAGGCCACATGCTGGCACTGGTAAAGTCAGATCAGATGACAGTTCTCTGGGCATCTGTCCCAAGGTTGGTACCAGTGGCAGTGTCACTCTCAAAAACCTCCTTCTAAGGACATTTTCCTGTCATCTTTCTGTTTCTCTTGGTGAGTATATGGCCTCTGTTTTCTTCATGTTCATGGTGTTTGTTTAGAGTTTTGAGATGAAAGATCTGAAGGAGGAAAGAAAACGAGACATGTTGCTAGCTGTTGTCACCATATTGAGCAGTAGGTATGGCCAAACAAGCATGTACATGTATGACTGACACTGATACATGTTGTATGTCTATAAAAGTACTCTAACATGCATTGCTAGAATATGTGTCCCATGATTTGTCTATTGCTGAAAGGTCTCCTTTCAACAGAGTCCCGGTCAAGTGTTTCTTTTTACAAGAAACAATGGACAGAAACTGAAGAAGAAGGAACAGCTGTTTTCCCAATGGTCTGACAAGTTGATCTTATCCTGATGACAGAAGCTTTTGCAAAAGCACTGAACAAAATATACTGTGTGCAGTATATTTGTGTAATATTGAAGATGTTAGTGCCACAATGTATGATCTAAAACAATTTTGCAACTGTTACAATAGTAACATTATCAAGACAAAATTCTGCTTGCAGGTCTATTAAACGTTAGCTTCCAAGGTGACATGGAAAATCACTCAGTGGCAGATAAAATTGAGTCACAGCCAGCATTGACCAGAGGTGTCTATCAAATTAAGAGTGGCCCAAACAGTGAAACTGCACTCTATAATAATGTGATATTACAGAATGTAGGATTGCTCATACAATACAAGGGCTTGTTCATTAGTGATTGGATATTGGTGCAGCCAAAAGTTGAGCCATGATTTTGTACAAATTAACTTGTAACTTTGTAACCTGACAAGTTTGAGTAACTGTTGATCATCCCAAGGAGTTTTACTATTAGATCCATTAATGGATGATGGTGTCTGAATGGAAAGTTTTGCTAAGACATTGACCTCCAGCCTGGACTTATCTCTTGACGTTGAACTTCCTGCATCACACATTCACAGTCCCCTGGTCTGATAAGATAGAACAAGTGTGATCCCAGGAGCATCCTGTGTGGAAGTAATGCTACCTCTCGGGACTCTTTCCTTGTTTCTTTTCAGTAAGGATTATTTTTTCAGACAAAACATCCCACTATTATTATAGCAGCTTTACTGATGCTTCTAACTTTGGTCCAGGGAACATGTTACAAGTACCAAGTTGCATGTATGACATGTATGTGCCTTGGGCTCTTTAAAAACGAGCAGAAGTTAAAAGGCAACAGACTATGTACACATATTTATTAGAATTTTTTGGAACTGTGGGTATGCATAAAACAAATATGTATAACCAAACACGCTAATTTAGAAATGACTAATGTATAAACAGCAAGATTTGATCCTTTTTACCGATGTTGTCCTAAGGGATGCAATATCAGACTTTTCCATTTTGCCAATGATACTTTATATGGGCACACAGACAGCCTTTGCCAGCTATCACAGATGGCCAATAAATACCAACACCAAAGGCAGAGTTACCAAGGGAAAAATATGAAATTTCTGTAGCTGACCTGTGGTGATCAGTATGACTTGTCAGCATTTGAGTCATATGTTCATAGCTTCACTGATGATTTTTCCAGAAACATGTTTTTCAGTGACCTTTTCTTCTGCTTAGCAGTACTTTTTCTTGGCCATCTTCTTGCATTGTTTCATTGTTAGAGGATGAAGTCATCCACCCACCAGCCATAGGGACCCTTTGCATGTAGACAGCTGTTCTTTCCAGGATGTGCTTTCTGCACATGGAGTGGAGTGGTGATCGACAGTCCATGGGATATCCTTGCTTTTCTAACTTTTGTCTTGATAACAACCACCAAAGGGATTAAAGTTATTATAGTTGTTTTGCACCAATCCAAAATCATGAACCAAACCTTAGAATATAGTTAGATCAAATACTAGTAGTAGTTCATTGCTTTCTGCCATCTAATCATACTGTAAGTTCTTTTGTAGTTTCAGGCTGGTAATTACTTAGGCCCGATTTACACGTGAGTCGTTTATATGTGTTGAGCGTAAAACGACGCGAGCGCGCGCGCGGTGCGGCACTGCGCATTTTGTGTGACAGATTTTTTTATCGTATAAACAACCTCCGCCACAGAAGCACAGCATCGCGCGGCGGTTTTCTTGTTGCACCTCCAAAACGCGCAGTGCCGCATCGCGCGCGCGCTCGCGTCGTTTTACGCTCAACACATATAAACGATGCACGTGTAAATTGGGCCTTAGTCCCAATTTCCCGTTCTTTTGTAGTTTCAGGCTGGTAATTACTTAGTCCAAATTTCCCTGGTAAGGAAGAAGTTAGAAAGGTTTCTTGCTGAGAAAATGCCTGGGGAAGTATTTAACTTTACCCAGATGTCCAGAAATTTAACTGAGCAAAGTCTTTTCGAATCAAATGACTTCCTTTGAATTCAGATACCTTTCAAACTTTTTCCCTTCCAAGCATATAGGAAATTTGGGCCAAGTAATTACTTTTGGCCAGCCAAAACCGAAGCTAATAAAAACATAAAATATTAAACCCTGTATACCCCATTTTGAGGTAGACTGTAACAGTTGCTTTTCGCTTTCATTCGCAACTGATGTAAAAATTAATTTTGATTGATTAATCTCATTGAATTATGTTTTGTTTAATGTAGATGTGACAATACTTTTAGCGTACTTTATTGAGATCAGTGTTGTTCAATTCATTCTCCAAATTCACCATTTATGAAGTTGGCAAAAATTCTCTTGTTTGTCCTGTGGAAACTTGCTGTTCACTCATATTGTAATTCAAATGATTGAAATATCATGTGTTTAGGAAGTCTTGTCGTTCACAGATAACATATGTATATAGTTGTCAGGATTTGTTATTTGGTCTGGTTCACGCATTCTCTCTAAGGAAGGGGGTGGCAGGATAGTTGTTAGAGAAAGTCTTTAAAGGTCTCGTGAATAAAAGAGACTGAAGGTGTCTATTTCTTCAAGAAGAAAGAATTCTAATTCTAGGAACTGCTTTGCACCTCAGAGTTACCACAAATGACCAAGAATAAGCTTTCAAAGCTGTACAACTTTGTATGAAGAAAAGAAACTTCCCTACTTGCCAATGGTCAGTTCCTAACAGCTGTAAAAGCCATGAGCCTGACTACTATAACCTGGGGTCAAGTCTACTATATTTGGCCAAACTGAGGAAATATTTAGAGCACATCTGTGAGAGGCTGTTCTCTGAATGAGAAGGTTTGTCTGGTTTGTTTTTTTTAATACTCTAAAAGTCATTTCCTTTTTGTATCATACATGTATACCCCGGTATACGTTGTAAATCATTACGTATATTAAACCAAGTCTAACCGTATTTCCATTATTATGGATTGCAGCTCTCTATTTCTGATTTTTATGCTCAAGTGGAAAGCACAGGCATGTCAAAACACATTTTGTTGCAAGCTTGATGTCAAAGTTGATTGTTTGTGCCACTCATGACCAACCTGTATGTAAAGTCATCATGTTATATCAGTGATATCATACATGTACATCTGTACATACTACATACCTTGCCACAGTGCAGGGGTTTTTCTAGAAAAATTTGGCATGAGGGAGCAGTATCACGGCGAGGGAGCGAAGCGACTGAGGGGGGGTTGGTGCGGAAGGGGGGTATCCCCCCTGCCACTCTGTGAAGCCTTTGAAAATTTGAAGTTGAAATGGGACATTTTGAGGCTACTTGAGGGGGGGAAATTTGAACTCTTAGATAAGATTTTGGTAAGATTTTGGATTTTTTATGAGAGTAACATAGTTTGTAATGCTAGAATGTATTGTTATGTGGGGTTGTTTTTGTATTTTTACTGGAAAAAGATGATTTTGAAAAAAACTTAGGCTTCAATCTGAAAATTGATATGAGGGCGCTGGTTTGTTACATGAGGGCGCAGCGCCCTTGTTCCCCTGTTCAGAAAAACCCCTGCAGTGGCATACTGTATGGAGGAAGGTATTATTTCAATGGGATGTGATTAAAGGGATAATTCCCAATCCTACGTGGCTGAAGATTCTAAGTTCTCTACTCTTATCTCCAAGCAGATCCTATGGTGGCAAGGCAGTATCCAATTGGCCAAGCAGTTACCCAGTAATACATTTACATTAACCACTCACAGGCTAATAAAGGACATTGTTTTGCCTTATCGGATACTGCCTTGCCACCATAGGATCTGCTTGGAGATTACTCTGATCTACACTGGATATCTATCAAATTCAAAAGTTTGAAAAAAATTCTTACAATATACATTATAGACAATAGCAGATAGTCACTCTATTTCTTTGTATGTACACATTTTTTTTCATTTCTTTTTGTTTTCTTCCATTTCTTTATTTTCATTGCTACTTTTGACTGAGAAGACTGGGGTAAGTCTATTACCTAAAACTTGTAAATTCTTAGATTTTAATCTTATTTGGAAGTATTACTTGCAATATTTACCACATTTTCCTTGCCAATCTCTATGACTATGACATATGACTTGTAACACCCTTTTTTCTGGTGGCTCATCACTTCTATTTGTACTCAGTTTCTTGTACTGTTCCTCAGCCATATGATTTTGATGTAGTTCCTGAGCCTTCTAGTAGTACATTGTAGTAGTAGTAATTTTACAGTACTAGTAGTAGGCATCCTTCCATCTCGAGAGATCACTCTAGGACTGTGGCTGTGTGCAGGGTCTAATGTGGCTAATGAGCCCTACATTTGAGTGGCAGTCCTGACCACAGTACTAACGTTACTTGGGACACATGAAAGATAAGCTATTTTGTGCTTGTGGTTTCTCTTTCCGCTTCTGGTACTTTGTCTCTGTACTTTGACAGCTGCCTGTGGCGTTTTGCCTGTCCTCTCGCTAGGTCAACCTTGACCGCGTGATGCCATTCACTGCAGTCTGATGGCTGGGTCAATATCGATGCACCTCCGATGTCACATTATACAGTATGTTACTGGTATTACATGTTTAGCTTCACTAGTCTGACTGTTACTCTACTGTTCCTTTTCTAGGACATACGCCGTCCAACAAAGGTTTCAAGGGTTGTATCTCCCGGGTTATGTTCAATGACGTCTTCCCTCTCAAGTTTTACTTCCTGGACAAGCAGAACATAGAGTTCCAAAGGGGAGGTACCGTACGAGCAGTCCCTGCCGACAGTTTAACTCGTTCATCCTGTGGAATAGAGCCTGTCATCATGCCGCCAAGAACTGTGGAACCCTGGCCTACTGCGCAAGGTAAGTCATGTTCACTGGTTTCTGAGCCTCCATGGAGGTCATGCCTATAACTACTTTCCAAGCAGATGTTAAGGAAGGAGATAGGTATACAGCTGCTGCCTGAATATGTGATATGAGAAAATAAAGAAAATGTTTTTTCAATGTGGTGATAATGATTTCAATGTACACTGTATTCTAGATTCCAGTGTACTTTTTAATTAATGAATTACATGTATGTGCATTGTTCCTATATTTCCTATATTGGGTTTATGAAGTTTGTATTTGATTTAAAAGTCAGAAAATGTTTCTTGTCTGTTTAGAAAGTATTACATGTATTTGCATGTCTTGCACAAAAAGAAATTTGATTATAAAACATGTGGAAACTGGAAAGACTATCTTTTGAAACTTTTAACTTTTGTACAAAAATTGTGTAAAAAAATTGAATCCCGCTGTTCACTCCATCTGATCTATATATACTGTTGCATGGTTCATATTTTGTACTTTGTCATTCCAATTTTTCATACTTGGTGTTGGCTTTCATACTACTGTGGATATTATCCATTTTCATTCTCAAAGACATTTATGCCTCTTTTTATAAAGACCTCGTAAACTTCCCATCATTTTTTTCATCTAGATTCCTCGATACATTCCTCTGATCATTTTCTGACATTTTCATTCTCCCTTCTTCTTTCTCCACCTTTCTCTTTCTCCCATTCCGTCTCCTGTCCGCCCCCCTCCCTCAGCGGATATCTATGAAAGCACACTGGCCGAGGGTATGTTAACAACGGAGGCGCCCATAATGCCTGATGTTGTTGGTGAAAGAGCCTCTAACTCCAGTGATGCTGCTGTCATAGGAGGTAGGGGAATGTAGCAGAGAATTTGTACAATACCTGAAAGCTGGGGTAGAGTTTTTCCATTGTGTTTCCAAACGGAGAATCTACTTTCAGATAGTGGTTTCTTTTTGCAAAATGTAGGTGTTCAAAAAACCTGGATCAGTTTGGTTGCCATTCACTCCAGAAATATATTATATTTCTGCATATTAAAACACAAAATTTCTGTGAAATTTTATCACGAAGACTCTAGTTTGGTTACACACATTTGTTGGACTCTACCCTAGTACCATTGACATTTATGCTGGTCTTACTCTGAATGCCCCCCACCCCCACCCATAGGCAGCCCGTTTTACAGCCAAACGGAACCAACTGCTCGAGTGGTGTCAACTACTGGCAATTTAATTGCAGGTAAAAACATATCCACATGGACACTTGATCCAGATCAGAGGATGGCAAAGAGTTATTCTTCTCTTAACTGCTTCTACCTGGCTGTATTGTTTAACTGACCTTTCGATGGTTTCTTTTTATTCTATATTTTGTAGTCAGTACATCTGGTGATTTACCGGTAGTGGTTTGCTAAACCTCTGTTAAACCTTGCTCTCAGTGATAGTACTAGTAGTATTTCTTCTTTACTCAGACAGATTTCAGCTGTCATTTATTTGAACCTTTCTTTGATTTTCCCTAAAGCTTTAAAATGATTCCCTGATCCGAACTCTAAATCTGTAGCACCAACACAAATTTCTAAATCTTTCATCCCTCCATTTTATGCCACATTCTACCTCTTGCCTTCCTCCCTCCTGAATCAAGTGTCCTGGCCCAGTTTGCATCATGCAATGTTGACGGAACAGTCCATCTGTTCATAAAAGGGGTGCACAGCATCCCAAGATACCAGGCCAGTATTCATGCAATGGTGGAGATAAGTATATTTGTTAACATGTTAGCTAGATACTTACCAATGTTGAAAACACCAATATAGGACTTAGGGACTACGGATGGGTGCGCTCTGCCCAGATGTCTCCTCTGGACGACACTGATTGGAGAATCTTGATAGGTAGGATGCTGTTGCCTAGCAACAGTGACATCCATGTCTCGGTGGTGCTGATTGGGTATAAGGTTTCTCATCTTCACCAATGACTGAATGTGTATCTGATGTTTATGATGTTGGCCAAACAAGGAATATCATTTTCTAAAATGTCCCTAACAAAAAAACAAAAAAACATTACTAACAAAAAAAGTTGTTAGTAATGTGCAGAAAGACATTCAGTCATTTGTGGAATATGCTTGTATTGGTCTAATATGTTGTTGACACATTCTGACCTGTAATTCACTTGGTGGCAGTAGTAAATAAATGATAGAAGACACACAAACTCACAATGCAATATTGGTGCCATCCTTTCCTTTGCATGGACTTAAGAACTTTTGGCAAACATATCTCTATCTACAGCATGGCTTTTAAATGCATGCTTCAACTCAACACAGCCTGCCATAATATTTGTATCATACACAGTGCATGTAGAAAGCATCAATCCACTTGCACAGAAACATTTTTCTAACAAACATTTCACTAACCCACAGAAACACACACTTTGCTTGTAAGGCATGCAAAACTAGCACCGAACACTAACAAAGTAACATCACTCACCCAAAGAAATGCTTACATGAGGGATCAGATATCATATCATAATGACACAATAAAATGGTGGCAATTTTTCTTTTCATGATCTCTAGGCCTTCACTGACATTTTTAAGTTAAAAATCCATGTCTGTGCTTAACAGCACAGAAGTGCCCTCTTGTGGGTAATCTTGTAACTGCAGTTTTGAAATCAGTTCATATTGTGAATTATTAAACTTCTATTAAGAAATGAATGGTTTTGCCAGTTGATCAAATTTCAAAATGTAGAAAGCAGAAGTTTCATGTCCAAAATGAATTGAACAAGAGAAGAAATTTATCTGAAAAGTCATGTTATTATACATTTGTGGCCATGGCTTTCCATTAAGAAAATGACTGATACTGCCATCAAGGCCAGTTGATGAAATTTTAAAATGTAGAAAGCAAAAGTTAAATGTCCAAAATCATTTTAACAAGAGAAGAAATTTATCTGAAAACTCATGTTATTAGCATTTTCAGCCATGGCTGAAGTTTGTTTCCATCCCACTGACTGTAACTTACAACGTCCCCAAACAGGCATGGTCGCAGTGATGATTGTAGCAGTGTCTGTCCTGCTATTCTTGATGGGTCGACAGGTGTACCGTCACCAGCGGGGAAAGTATGACACCAACGAGACAGAGACGTAGGAAGAGTCACGGGACAGGAATTCTTTGTCGTCGTAAACTTCTGCCACCTCTATTATTAATTCCCCACCATACGCAAGACAGTTGTGCTGCATTTTCATGTGATTTTAAAGTAGTGTACTTTTTGAAGTTTTTTAGATCATTTTTTATTTGATTTACAGTGGTATATTACCGTAGCAATTTCACAGTCCATTTGTAAAAGAAATCCCATTGAAAAAGTGGCACAATGCAATTCTAGATACTGTTGATTGTATTTGTAGTTAAGAATCTGTTAATTGTAATGATTTAAGTGATTTAATCTGTCTTTCTCACCTCGAACATCGCTGTCCAGGCGTTGTGGCGGTGCTGATTTTCGTGCTCCTGGTTCTCCTGTGTATGCTCGCTCGCTATGCCTTCCGACACAAGGGATCGTATAATACCAACGAAGCTAAAGGGGCAGACCAGGCCGACGATCCTGACACAGCCGTGGTGGCTGGGGACCCACGCCACACTGGGAGTGACGTTGGCAAGAAGAAAGAATGGTTCATCTGAAGAAAACACTATAGCAAACGGTTCTAAGTCTAGAAGGAAAAATATGCAAAAAAGAGACAAAAGTTTCATCCTCTTACTAGGGTTCCGCAGCAAAGCATAACTTGAAAAGAGAGTATACTGAAGAAAAAAAATGAGAAACAATCTTTGATCAATGACAGACATGAGACGGTTTCAAAAGAAAAAATTACCAGCTGCAGTGGTAGATGTCAATATGAATGCACTTATGCAACTTCTATCTTCAGGACCGGAGGTATTGAGAAAGATTGAAACAAAGAAAGCCTTGAAGAAACAAACAGCTGCCTTGAAGACTTGCCTTATGTGTAGATAAGAAAATCATTTGGTGCTGTCACTATGTAACGTTAACAATAGAACCTCCATGGTCACAAAAATGCTATTGGCCCTCAGTCAAAAATCGTTAAACCAGAATATTGATAAAATAGTTTTTTTTGTCACAAAACAGACATTTGAATCAAGCAGTTCAAAAAGTGATTGATTTAAAAAGAAAAATTATTTTCTGCTGCATTCTGTGAGTGACTTCTGGCTACATGTACATGTAGATGTGACTGACCTACAGTATTCCTTGCTGACCTTATACTCAGCTATTTGCCTTTCTTTCTAATCTCTCTCACATTTCTCGAATGTGCACAATACTCGGTAATTTCTCAACTTTCTCTTTAATTGTATTTTAGTTGTGTTCAATATATCATTACATAAAAACCTGATACGTACAATATAGCACAAGGACAGAAAAAAAGTAAAAAATGTGAAAACTTGTAAAATTAAGACAATATGAAGCCTTAGGGAACACATAGTGAAGATATGCTGTTGTGTTTATTTTGCCATGTTCTAAGCTACTGAAACTATTTGCAAAGCAAAAGAGAAACATTTGAAATGTTGCTTATATAGTTTTTGATATTGATTCTAATGCTAGTCAGTATTTTTTGCATGTATGGCCTGATCGATAAAGCATACAAGATTGTCATATATATACATGTATATCATATACAAAGCAAATCTGGCAAGGAAAGTTTTTTGCCTGACATCATAAGTTCCTTTACACAAACAATGTTTGCAGTATCCAAGAGTTTTCACTTCATTATTGACAATCAAATTGTTTATCTAAGCTTGCAACATTTCTAGATGTTGGCTGTCTTTTTTAACACTGTAAATACCCATGAGTATATTGAGTTATGGTAAACAATTATGGTGGATGTATATTTGTTTCAGTGTCCTTTGTCTATAAGTGAATTATTTTGGGCATGGGATCTACTTTTATTTCTTATGTTTTTATGGTGTGATGATGGATGTAAGACTAGAAATATAGTTATAAAAAAAGCCAGTAAAATGAACAAGTACATGTAGCTTTCTTATTGATAGATATTTTTCGAGTGAGTGTTGAAGTAAATGGCTAGTTACATGCTATTGTAAGAAGGTAGAAACTATGGACAAGGGCTGTATTGCCCATCTTCAATGGATGCACAAAAAAGAAACAACTTGAGACTGTGGCCACAGGTATTCTGGATGTTCTTGCTGTCCCATTTTTATAACACACAGTTCTATCAGAAGAATAGAGAAGAATACAATTTTCCCAACATCTGCTTAGAGATTGAACGTAGTGACTTGACTTGTACTTGTCAGCATGGTAAATCGGAAAGCTTATAGGTATACTCATAAAAGAAGTTCCAAATTAAAGGTAGTTTCGAGAACAAAGTGTACTGGAAACTCTTTCCTTGTTCATGTATAAAACAGCTATTTTATGTGCAGTACAATCATGTCTTTAACACAATAAGAATTCTATACATTGATTTTTGCCAGTAAATATTACCATATTTTCAGTTTTCAAGTGTATGTCACATGAAAGAAAAAATACATTTACACATCATACAATGTAGTTGCCTTATAAAATATGTTGAAACACTCTAGCCGGGCGATTGCAAATGTAAAATTGACTTAAGTAGTATATATAGCAGTCAGTGTCTGTGAATTAGGCCATATCTATTTTGGAATGATATATCTGGGTGCTTGGTATTGGGCTCGGCTTTTTGCATATCATGTTTTGTAATAAAAATTTGGAAGATGTCACCAATGTTGTTCTTGTCTGTACTTCATAGTTGTTTGCTACATTTTGATGTTTATTAGAATTTGTGGAAGGGTACAAATATTTGATTTTGAAGGGCCAAATCTAACAGGTTGGTAAATTGGATTGAATGAAATACTTGAGGGATGGCAGCTGTAAAAGTCAAGCCATCTGTAATGCAACAACAATAATAATGTATGGATTTTATTCTTATTAATGCACTAAGAGTGCAACAAGCTGATTGAAAAAAATCCCTCGGGGAATACAGATTAGGCCACAACATAAGGCCACAACAAGTGATTTTTATGGATGAAATCTGTGCTCGCATTAATTTTTGCTTGACTTTGGAAAAAAAAATTGTTCCCCTCTGACACTGGTCAAACATGCTGAAAGTGGACAAAGATGTCAGTTGCCATGCCAGAACGTGGATGGCAGATGAATATGAAGACAAGGATCCGCTTTAGCAGCGACGTTAGGAAGTGGGCAAAAACTACGGAGGATGGCACCCAGGCTAAGCGTTCTTTGTTGTCACATTACATTTGCAGTCTCTCCTTATACTGTGCGTTTGCCTAACATGACACGTGTTGGGTAATCAGGTAGCCAATGTTGACCTTTGACATATGATGTCACCCTTTGACCTCTGCGGTAGACTTTACCACTGCACTTCGAATGCTGAAGACTTGAAAGGTAGGATGTTTTAACATCTTGGTAGCGTAGTTAGCGAGGCGTATACTGTGTTTCTTCTTCTGTTTGAAATAGTTGATGTTTTTAAGTATGTTGTGGAAGTTGTAACATCCTTTAAAAGGCCAGAGTATGGTAGCACTCCTAACTGTAAGTTTAGACTTGCATATGGCGGGAGAATATTTTGGGGAGGGGGGCGGCTTGCTGAAAATGGGATTTCGAGATGACATTTGCTTGTTCAGTTGCATGTGGGTGTGTTATGTATAGATTTCTCATTACTATCAACAACATGATTTGTTTCTCCCGGCACATCCGTTTGTCAGTTCAATACTATAGAACCGTCCTCTTCTTGTCAAGTGGTATGTTTCGTCTACTAGCTGATACTTTTATAATGATGCTCCAGGTGAGTCACTGACAGTAGTCTAAATCCCCTGTCTAAATCCCTCCTGCTATAGAATTGCAACATAATGTAACCCAACACTAGTTACCATGGTGACAGACGTCTAGTTCAGGTCATTGACCTTATGCCTTAATGGTTTGGAGAAGAAGAAGAAACAGAGCAAAAACTATTTGTTTTCCTTCGGTAATAATAAAAAGATGACGAAGGAAATAGTCGACATTTGCCCTGTGTCATCTTTTATAATAATAATAATAGCATATGTTGTTTCAGGACTAAGAAATCATCGACAGATTGCGCAGCCATGATGTTTTGGGGAGACTATCTGGACGACTATGATGATTACGATGACTACGGCTCGGACGATCACGACTGGGGATACGATGATTACGGTGACGACTACTTCACCGACGGCGAATCGCAGGGCAGCAATAGTACCAAGTCCGGCGACAACGCGGGCGGGCGGCACTTCCGAAACTACCAGCGAGAGATGCAAGTATGTTTGTTTGTTAATGTTATGTTTACTGAAGGAAAACATTGTTTTTGCTCAGTTTCCTCTTCCTCTTCTTCTTGTTGAAAAACTAACCTCTGCTCTGGCCAATGACCTGATATTTGTACAAATGGTATAATGTTATGGAAATTGAAAAAACAATAAGGTAATTCAAAATTGATAGGAGAGGTCAACAAAGAAAAACAAAATAATTTAAACATAATCCAATTTTGTACATTTACAACAAAGGTGCCAACAAAATTGACAAAGGTTTAAATAAATAAAATAACTGAATACAACATAATGTCAAAATAATCATAATTCCAAAAATAAATATGATAACATAAGTTAATCAACCGTATAATTAACTGAAAGGTAGCAACAGAATAATAACTTATTCAAATGAAACATTCTGTACAATGAGATACCATGTGTAGCTTTTGCTTGCTACCACCATAGGTTCTAGAAGAGCTGAACAGCCAACGGAAGAGCGGAGAATTCCTGGACGTTGTTGTTGAAATAGAAGGGAGAGAATTCCCCTGCCATCGCGCTGTCTTGGCTTCCACACCGTACTTCAAGGCTATGCTGTCAAGCAAGCTGGTAGAAGGTGACTCGAGAGTCATTAAAATCCTGGGCGTAGACTCCATATCTTTCTCCAAACTGTTAGACTTCATCTACACAGGAGAAATTGACATTGGAAAAGAGAATGTACAGGATATACTACAGGCAGCACACATGTTACACTTTGAAGATGTACAGAAGTACTGTATTGAGGTCATTGAGAAAAACTTGGACCCCTCCAACTGTCTAGGGGTACTTCGTCTTGCTGACCTGTACAATCTGGAGACGTTGAAGAAGAAGGCATGGGACATGGCACTTCAAGATTTCACCAAGGTAGGTTGAAAGTGGAATTTTTAGTAGCTTCCCATCCAATAGTTATTTGCCAAGGGACATAAATATTTCAAGCTGATCGACCTTTTCTAGCTCCATGATCTGACCCGAGTGATGAAACGGTTTTCCAACATTGACATTGAAAATATAAGTGTCCTCAGGCTCATGCAAGTTCTTATTTGTTAAACTGTATTGTATTAGTTGGATCAATAGAGATTGGCAAAGTCTAATAACCTACCGACCTAATTATTTCAAGACTGAAACAGGAAAGACAACATTTTTTCCTAGGCCTCACCATTTTAGCTCAATGTAGGTAAGTAAATCAATGTCAACATTTTTGCAGGTAACTACCCATGAAGAGATCAACGACCTCACACAGACAGAGTTACTGGGCCTCCTGAAGGACAACAACCTCAAGGTCAACAGTGAAGACGATGTCCTTGACACGGTCTTGAAGTGGGTAGAGCACGACTTGGAACAACGGAAGGAGGCACTGCCTGACATCCTCACTGCCGTACGATTACAAAGTGTCAAGACAAGTGCTTTGAAGAAAGCTCAAGCCAACACCTTGGTGAAGGAATGCAGAAAATGTTCTGAGATGATGAAATCTGCACAGGAGATGCAGGTAAAAGAACTAGAGGGGGTTGTAATCGACACCGAAGAAGTGACGCTTCGCGAGGGAAAGTCTGATGATGTACTGGTCCTTGTTGGTGGCTGGCGAACCATCCCGACTCCGCTCCACATGTGGAAAGAAGAGGATGAAACTGACCCCCAGGTGCCCCTAGGACAAGTCCTGTTAGTTGATCCTGATAACAGTAAGACATATCATGTAACAGACCTTCCTGCAGACATTATGGGGTACATGAGTGTGGCCGTACATGGTTCAAAGTTGTACGTCACGGGTGGGTGCGTGGGAATGCCATCTACAGACAGTGGCACTGGCATTCCCTCCAATCAGGCCTTCTGCTATGACTTTCCCAAAGACAAGTGGCATAGGCTACCCAACATGCCGCATTCGCGATGCATGCACGGCTCGATAGTATTAGACGAGAAACTGTACGTTCTGGGTGGCAGTGACACACAAGGGGAGACCATGGACTGCTTAGACCTGTCTAGAAATATGTGGTCCTCCGTCAGTGCACCATACCCACACATAGAGCTCTCCCCAACGATGACAATTTGCAACAACGAGTTGGTCTTGGCCAAGGTCGTCAAGCACATGGGAAACATCACGACCATGCAGAGTGACCTTGATGGCGGACACGAGTTCCACCTTGCCCTTGACACGCAGTGGACTCTCCGCGTACAGTCGTACTTCCCGAGAGAAGACGACTGGATCTGCATGGAAACCGAGTATGAAGACTCAGACGAGGAAGTCTTCACGTTTGTCGACAACTCCAAGGTGTGCATCCGCTCCAGCGCGTACTACCAACAGCCTTACATCTTCAACTTCGAAGACGGCACCCTGAAGCGGAACACGGAAAATCCCAACAACTTCCCCGCCACGGGGATTCACTACCGTCTCCAGCAGGACTACGCTCACAGTTTCACTGACATTCCAAGTATCATGAACGACACCGTCAAAAAGTACAGCTTCAAGAGGTTTGAGGGACACGACGGTCCGTTTGCGACGGTGAGCTCCGTATCGCTACCGTACGCCGTCCACGGCTCGGGCTTCTCGGTGGGAAAGAAACGGACAATCGGGTGGTTCTGCAGGGACCTGGAAGTCATCAAGGGGGAGGATGATGAGGAAAACAGGGACGATGAGGATGAAGAAAACTTTGATGGCACATGAAAAGGAAACAAGGTTTTCTGTCAGGACAGGAAGTACATTGAGTGTCAGTGGTTCATTTGTGTCAAATGTTAATAATCAAGAAAAAACTTCTACATATGGCGCTGTGTGTGGCATCTTTTTCAAGGACACATTTCAGTTGTCTGAAATATGTATAGTTGGAGCAAGGAGCTTCAATGTCCTTTGTTGGAGAGATAGAGAAAAGATATGTACTAAACCTGTTAAGTACTGTACTGATGTTATGAACATGTTATGTCTTGTTTTCAGTAAAATCTGTACACTGGGTACCAACCGGTGCTAGATGATAGAAGAGCACAACTTAATTTAATTGCTGTGTTTGATGTTGATCACATCACATGTTAGATAAAAGAGGTCAACATCAGCTATCTATTGTATAAACTGGCATGTTTTTTGTTGTGTTTCACAGCTTCTGTGTCTGTCCTAAAAAATACACCAAAGATTTAACACAAATTGGTTGTCTACTTCTCAGAAATAGCATACATGTGATATGCAGCAGCAACAAATTGGATGAACAAAATGGATGCTTGCTTTCAAAATGGCTTCCTTTATTATATTTAGAAGAAACAAAGGAATTTACGAGTATCATAAAACATGCAGATATACTTTATACATTTCTTTATAATAAAATGCACCAAGGAAATAAATATTGATATATACTTAGTCTTAATTCACCAATTATTGGAAAATCTTAGATCTCAATAGAATCAGGACCTACATAAACTACGTATGTTATGGTGGGCTTTGACATGTTTATACAGAACAATGTTTTGGTTGGATGTGTTCTTCTATAGTGCATGTGAGGGATATAAAAAAAACCTTCAGTGTGACAGAGAGGGACACAACTGTTTTGGTCATGGCAAATTATTCAACATTGAGTCAACATGACAGAAGGTCTACTAGTTCTCTACTGTATGTATCTGTGAGAGAAATCTTTATTTTTTCTATTACCAGGTAACCTGTTAGAAGATTTAGAATTAGAGTTTATGTAGAGGAATAGATGTTCTATTGAGTTATTTCATTTCAAGTCAGATTGAAGAATATTCTACTAACTGTAATCTTACGTTACTAATGAACCTCTACAACAAATTTAGATTAAACATTTTTTTATATTTTAGGCTGTCACAAAAGTTGTACATTTTTCTGTACATGTTGAAGCACCTTAATCTATGGTTATGAAAACTTAGCTGTTTTTCTTTCGTAACTTTTTGTGTAAAGGTGCATGTCACTTCACTGTAAGATCACAGATTGAGTTTTATAATGCTGTTAACATGAAAGTTTGTGTACTTGTACTAGTGGTTTGTAGCAAGCAAAAGAAAAAAATGAAAACATAAGATTCTAGCTCTGTTTTCATTTTTCCCTTTGTGTTCATCATTAGAATTACCGTGTCAACCTTTGATTGTATTTTACTATTTTTGACAGCAACTCCTGAAGTCTGGTAGACTACACATTGCTGTAATTATATTTCTAACCGCTAGGTAGCGTTTCCCTGTGTCTGTTTTACCCACTATTCAATGGGGAGTAAAATGGGGGTTTTCAATGGTCCTCTTGACTCTATTAAAATGTTATAAATTAGGGTCAAAGAGATAACAAAAAATAATATTTTTTTTGTTCATGGTAAACATGGAAAAGTAAAGGTAAACATGGAAAACACCTGTGACTGGACCTTGGTTAAGTTTTTCATTTGGCTCATCCCTTATCATTATTATTACTATATGTCTTGATTCGTCCTGGCACGAAAAGACATCGTAAAGAAAACGTTGGTTATTAATCTATTAATAATGGTATTGTGACTGGGTCATCGTGAGTTATTGGTTAAATTTTAGACACTCCTTGGTGAGACGTATTGCCAATAGTCGGTATTGATATTCTTTTCTTTCCGCTATTTCTACAGTAATTTTTTTTTGCTGCCTGTCCCAGAGAGAGTGCAAGTTTATACCCAGGTATGCAACTCGTTCATCTCATAAGTTTCGTTTCCAAATCAGATTTGAGATACCGTTTTTGACACGTTCAGGCTCTCCTTACGCTGTCCAATCCATCTTAATCTAAACAGACTGGGACACCGATAAAAAGTTGATCCAGGGCTTCTCCTATCAGGTTATTTGTATCCGACGATTCGGGGCAAATATGTCCCTTGGGCGACAACACTGGTGGGGTAGTCAGGCCACGTGCACTTTCGGGACCACACATTCGGTTGGGAAAGGAACTTTCGTTTTTTTTACTTGATAACCTTGTAAGATGGAATGAAATGGCCTCCCCACATGGAGGGAGCTCGCGATCAAAGCGGTACGGGGACCCTGGTCGGTCTGTCGTGCCGGCAGGGGAGCGCCCCGGCCCGTGACTCTACCCGGCCCGACTCCGTTCCCACCGGCAGCCGGCGCGGCCATGTGTGGCGGGATCGTGTATCCAAACCCCATTACTCAGTGTCAACGTGTTTTTCTTGGGCCGAGGGGCGTGCGGAACGAGGCACACACATGGTCGCAAGACTTTTTCGCCGGCGAGAATCAAACGGAGCCCATTCGCTCTTCTTCCGCGTCGTTCCCAGTTGATGTTTTTGGTGGGATTTGGCGCGGCGGGGTCCTGCCCAACGCACACCGTGGGAGAGTTTCTCTCCGGTTTGGCCGGGTTCCCGGGCACGGCACACACACCGCACATGTGGTGTCGACATGCCCCGACCAATGGCTCATCCCTTATCACTGGGCCGATTTAATTATAGCCGTGTTGTGTTTGGGTTAGATCGCCATCGAGATCTTGAGAACTAGGCACGCCCAGAGACGCGATAGGTCGCCCTGAAAAATCTTTGATTACTGTATAGGACGTCAACCCTGTCAACTGCAAAATGTGCAGTTCTGTGGCGTCTATAGGTACAGCTGTATACCCTGGTTACCAAACCTATTTTAACGGCTGAGTTGAATTAAAGAGACTCGACAGCTAAAACAGGTTTAGTAACTAGGCTAACAGATGTAGAGTAGTACTAGTAGGGTGTAAATATATAGTAGAGAATGGTATGGAAGAAGATTATATTAAAGTCTACTGTGTACGACAATCGGCAACCTAGTTGCTCCATTGGTGTGGCTTACGCACAAATACTGAGCGTTCGAGTCTGAGGTCTATTACTAATTAGCCTGGGTGCCATCCTCCGTAGTTTCCACTCGCCCCCTAATGTCGCTGGCTACCACCGTAGGGAGCGGGAGGAAAATACGGAGGCACCCAGGCTAGGGTCTGTCTCATCAGGCCAGACTTTTGCTCAGTCTATATGGCAGGACAACATCACAGATTGGACGTCCATATAAAATCTGTCCGAGAGGCTGACCGCTGCAAAAGACAGAGAGGTCTGGAGACAGATGTCCATCCTCATTTCTAAGGTAGATGGACAACCCACAACGACCAGGCAAAGGGATAAGGTATATAGGTAAGGCAAGTATCTGAGGGGGTGTCTATGGTAAAATTGATTTTTGGAGCCGAGGTACTAGTACTAGTACTTCAGATACGACTTTGCAAGGGTGTGACTAAAACACTTAAGGTTCCCAGACTAGCTACGAAACTCCAACCACAAAAATCTTGATGTCAAGTGAACTTCTGTGGGGGAGTCGGGACCTCTGTCTTCAAAGTACACCAGGTGTTCGGAGGATATTCCATCTTAAACACTGTAAAATCATGGTCAAAAGAACACACCACGCCAAGGATTTTTGATACACAAAAACATGTATTTACAGTAGTGCATTATTGTCCATAGCGCTCGAACTATGCAACATTAGAAAGTACAATAAACACGCCTCTGTACCCCATGTGTAACTAAACAAGTTGGTATCAGTAGAACACAGATGGGTGAAAACAAATGCTGACAGGTGCTGAGGCGAAACATAAACTGGAAAGATCAGTAGAGAGTGGGTTATCTTTGTTACAGGGTCAAATCGGCATTTTTCTTAGTCCGCTGTTGACAGGTTTTCCACGTTACAACAACACGGTCGATTCTCATTATATGGATACGGTTTCACTGGTCCATTTACAATGTGGCAGCTGTTTTCCCTCCAAGTGGTTTCGGCCCTTCGGAGTACAACAAAGGTACGGTGTTTTGAAAACCGCGAACGTTAACATTCAAGAACCCAACGCGACTCTTAAAGTCGTTTGCAGTTCATAGAAATAGTTTGAACATTGCAATGCTTATTTAGATAGGGGAATTTAGATAAGAACAGCAACAGAATTGGTTGTTTTGATGACTGGATCATAGCTAACAAGCCTAGCATAATCTGATCCCACCTGACGCATACTTAGCAATGTTACAGCTAGTCTTCCCACACATATAGCATACCGATGTTTATATAGCCGCCATATTGACAGTGGGAACTAAAATTTGGCGGGAAGACAGCATCAATGAAAATAGTCTGCGATTGGCAGCTGGTGTGGTATCACATTCAGGGCTCATAAAACTTGCCACACACATAGCTCCAGTGATACCTACATGCCACGAATTGTATTGACAAATGTGGGCAATACTAGGACGATTAGAACGCAATTTTCTACCTCCTTCTCTCCATGTTGTGTTGTTATCACCGATAACGAATTCACATTTCATTTTATTTCTCCTGCCTTGTAGGCCAAATGATTAATTAAAACATACAAGTCAAAAGAGCTCAATTGTTATCCAACCATTCAGTAAAAAGAAAACTACAGTACAACATTAGCTATTCTATGCTCGGTCAAAAGAAGTACATGTATGATATGATGCACATGTACTGTCAGAAATCCTGCCATATATCTCACGTGAAATTACGTGACATAACGAGAACAACGCTTGAAATATTCCATAAACAAACTACAATTACTGATGATTAGCTCTGCTGTCATCAACACCTTATATTTACTATTTACATGGAATGAACACGTTCTAGCTAACGTTACAGAATTCTGCGAGAAACCAAGGACATTATGAAACTACGTTCAAATCAGTGAAAATTTGTAAGATTTGTTTTTAAAAAAACTCCATCCACCGTTCTGATGTAAAAAGTAATAGGATTCAGGTACAGACGACTATTGTTTTAATAGTTTCGAAAAAATAACAACATGTTTTAGTGGGTGAGGACGGCAAAAATGTGTGCCGAAGCGGTGTATTATGGGATTTAAGAATATTATGGGTACTAGCTGTTGTGTACATGGTCTCCGTTCAAACATGGCGGCTCATCTTCAAGGTCAGGGTCACGCGGCAGAAGTTCCTTCAGAGCTTCCTTGTCTCTCATGGCCGCTCCTCCCTTCGTCCTCTTCCACTTCATCCGTCGGTTCTGGAACCACACCTTTACCTAGAAAGGTACAGAGAAGTGAGAAACTCAATCAAGACATTAAAAGAATAGCCTCCTTCGCAGTCTTGTTGGGCGTCGGCGTTATTTTTTCTCTGAGCGACGCGAGTAATATGCGGCCGCGAGGGACGATTTGCTGCCGAGGGAGTTTTGCCACGGAGAGAAGGTTTCGCGCTCCAACAACTTTCT